AAGTCACTTCACCCTGCATGCCTCAGTTTCCTCCTCTGTAAAATGAGACGGAGAAGGAAATGGCAAACCGCTCCAGTATCTTTGCCAAGAAAACCCTAAATGGGGTCATGGAGAGTCAGACACGATTGAACACTAAACCTGACATTTAAGGCCCTCTACAATCTAAGTCCCACGTGTCCTTCCTGTCTTATTTCACAACAGCGCTCTTCATGTACTCTCTGTTCCAGGCAAACTGGTGGACTAGATGCCTCACATACATGACATTCTACTTCCCATCTCCGTCTCTTTGCTCTGGCCGTGTCCTATGCCAGAAACGTACACCCTCCTCACCTCTGTCATTGGCATCTGTGAATTCCACCAAAGCACAGCTCCGACGTCACTCCCTTGGAGTTTTTTCCTGATTCCCCCAATTATTAGCACTCGCTCCCTCTAGAGATGTTGCAAAGGGGAGATCAACAGGCTTGGCAAAGGCTTAGATGTGTATGTGGCGGGTTGAGAGATAGTGAGGAGTTCAGGATGGCTCCTAGGTTGGGAGCCCGAAGGATCAGGATGATGATGTTGCCCTTTACAGTAATAGGGAAGGTAGGAGGTATGGGGTGGGGGGGTTTAGGGTTAAAAAAAAAGGAATTCACTTTAAGACACTGAGTTTAGGATGACTATGGGGCACCCAATTCAAGATGTCAGACAGGTAATTAGAGATGTGAGACTGGACACTGGGAGAGAGATTAGGGCTGGACAAGTAGATCTGAGGGTCATTTTCACAGAGATGACATCTGAAACCATGGAGCTGATAGATCACCAAGTGAAATAGTCTAGAGGAAGAAGAGGGACCATGTTAGAGCCTAGGGGGACCCCCATAGCTCATTTTAAAATTTAGCTTTTTAAAAAATTGAACATTCATTTTAAAATTTTGAGTTCCAAATTATCTCCCTCCCTCCTTCCCATTCATTGGGAAGGCAAGCAATATAATACCCATTGTACACGTCAAGTCACATAAAACATATTTCCATATTAGCCATGTTGCAAAAAAAAAAAAAAAAGCAAGAAAAATAAAGTGAAAAAAGTATGCTTGGGGGAGACACCTGGAGTTAGCAGGATGACGATCAAGCAAAGGAGTCAGAGAAGACTCGGTCGGAGAGGTAGGAGGTGAACCAGGAGAGTACAGTGTTACAAAACCCTCGAGAGAAGTATCAAGCAGAAGATGGTGACTGATAGTGTCAAAGGCTGCAGAGCAGTCAAGGAAGATGACATTTAGAAAAGGCCACTAGATTTGGTGATCAAGAGGTCAGTCACTTTGGAGAGACCCCTTTCAGATGAATGAGGCCAGAAGAGACTGCAAAGAGTTTAGAAGAGAGTGAGAAGAAGAGAAATTATAGGACCTGTTATCAATGGCATTCCCAAGGAGTTCAGTCACAAAATAGAGGAGAGATATAGGATGACAACTAGTGGGGAAGGATGGACCAAGTGAGGACTTTTTTGAGGACGTGGAAACGTGGCCATGTTTATATAGCAGGAAAAGAGCCGGTAGACAGGAAGCTAGTGAAGATTAAGGAGAGAGAAGGCATGGTAGAGTGCTGGAGAAGATGGGATAGAATGAGATCATCCACAGTCATTCGGTATCTAGATATGACCGGGGCCATCTCCTGTCATCCTGATCCATTATCTGGCCACTGGACCCAGATGGCTCCAGAGGAGAAAGTGAGGCTGGTGACTTTGCACAGCCCTGCCTCACTTAAATTCAATTTACTTGCAAGTCATGGCATCACCTTCCTGATGTCACGGTTCTCTTGGAGATCAAAGGACAAACAACAACAGTTTAGATGTAGACTACTCCTCCCCAGAAAGTGAGGTGACATAGGTTAGAGTATGTCCCTGAAGGGATGGAGGAAATAACTGCACATTTACTGTTCTACATCTTTGAAGTCACTAGCCCTGTCTAAAAGCTAACTGATACTAAGAGATCAAATAGAACTGGGTTGCTATTTCTAGTTCCCCAACTACGGTGGTGATGAGAGGAAGCACAACTAGTTGGGGCTCAAGTCCACGGCAGTAGAGAAGAAACACCCTAACTCCTTGTTTCCTATCCCCCTAGAACCCTGAGGGAAAGACACTGGTAGAGAAGTTCAGAACATAAACATTATACATGGACATGAAGGTGATGTAAAAACTATGATAGCAGTAAGTGGCTTTAAAAGATAAAAATTGACTTTTATAAAAAGACATAAAGTGACTTTTAAAAACTTTGGGGGCACCTAGGTGGTAAAAGGGATAGAGCACCAACCCTCAAGTCAGGAGGACCTGAGTTCAAATTTGACCTCAGATACTTACTAGCTGTGTGACCCTGGGCAAGTCACTTAACTCCATTTGCCTCAGTTCCTCATCTGTAAAATGAGCTGGAGAAGGAAATGGTAAACCACTCCAGGATCTTTGTCAAGAAAACACGCCAAATGGAGACATGGAGAGTTGGACATGACAAATGACTAAATCTGGGCCAACAGGGCCCAAACAATGACCACTACGTGGGGTTTGGGCTGGGACCTATTGTTGGCCAATCAATGAGAGCCAGAGTGAATTGGGGTTTAAGGCATGGTCTTTGAGAAAGATTATTTGTTTGTCCTTCATTCCCCAAGAGGACTGTGACATCAGGAGGGTGATGCCATGACTTGCCAGTGAATTGGATTTAAGTGAGGCAGGGCTGGGCAAAGTCATCAGCCTCACTTTCTCCCCTGGAGCCATCTGGGTCCAGTGGCCAGATATCCATCAGGACCATTAGAGATGGCCCCTGACCTTTCAGTAAGGGGGAGGGCGTGTCAGAAAAGTATTAGTGTTTAGAGATCATAAGCAAAGAGGCAGCTTGGTTTGGGAGATAAGAGACTGAAGAGATAAAAGCCAACTCTTGTTGGCTCTCAGGATGACAGGATTTAGACTCAAATGACTGCGTGATCTTGGATAAGTCCCTTACCTCTTCTGGTCTTTCATCTCCCCATCTGTAAAATTATTGAATTGGTCTTTGACGATCCATCATTTCCCTCTCCCTTCTAACCCTCTATGATTCATTTATCACCTCTAAGAATATAATTACTTCATCTAGGTGCTACTAGGACATTCAGGAGACGGGGACCTTGAAGGTACGTAACATTCTCTTGGGAGCTGGGAAGAGGAGCGGGAGTTTTCCTAAAATTCTGGACGTTAAGCTGTTTTTCTTGGAGTGAGATGGGGATCAGTGGGAGAGAAGGTCAGAACATAAACATTATGTATGGACATGAAGTTACCTCCAGATGAAGTTGTATGTGTTTTCTGTGTGGGCTGCAGAGTGTGCATGGAATCCCACTATCCTTATATTGCTTTCTTTCCCAATGTGGCTAGTACTACTAACATCAGAATTATTACTGAAGTTAGACACAGGCATATGTTTTAGATGGGAAGTTGGAGTCAGAAGACTGAGGTCTGAGTCTCTGCTGTACCATTTATTCTGTGTGATCAAACAGTTATTAAACACCTACTATGTGCCAGACAAAAATAAAAGTCTCTTTCCTAAAGGGGTTTACAGTCAGTCAATGGGGGAGATAACATGGACATGGAGAGGTACATACAAAGCTGAACAAGGTAACATTGGATGGGAAGGAAATACCATTATTATCATCATTAGCTAGCATGTATATAGAGCTCTCAGGTTTGCAAAGCACTTTACGTGACTTTTTTTTTTTATTTGATCCTGCTATTATTATCCACATTTTTCAGATGAGGAAATTGAGGCACTGAGAGGTTAAGTGATGTGCCCAGAATCAAACACCTGGAGAGCGAGATAAGATTGACTGAGGGGACGAGGAAAGGTCTCCTACAGAAAATGGTGCTTGAGCAGAGTCTTAAAGGAATTAGGGATTTTCAGGAGGCAGAGGTGAGGAGGAAGAACATTCCAGGCATGAGAGACAAGCAGTGTAAAGGCAGGAAAATGGGAATTCAGAGTGAGGAAAAGGGGAAGTAGCCCAGTTTGACTGCACTGTAGAGTTTCCTGAAGCTAGTAACATGTTAAGGAGAATGGAGAAGTAAGGAGTCAGGTTGTAGAGAACTTTAAAGGCAGCTAGATGACCCAGTGGATAGAATGAGTGCTGGCCCTGGAGTCAAGAAGATCAGAGTTCAAATCCAGCCTTGGGCACTTATTTGCTGTGTGACCATGGGGCAAGTCGATTAAATGCTGCCTCAGTTTCTTCATCTGTAAAATGGGGCTAAGAAGAGCATCTACTTTCCAGGGTTGTTGTGAGAATAAAATGAGATAACGTTTGTAAAATGCTTTGCAAAAGTTAAAATGCTTTTTAAGTGTTAGATATTGTTATTATTTTTGGTTATTATTATTATATTAAAATGCTTATGTAATGGGAGGGGGCAAAGGAATTTGTTTATATATTTATAGGATATTTGATCCTAGAGGTAATTAGTCCTAGTAAATAAGAGATCTGGTCTTGGAACCACCAAGACCTGGGTTCAAGTCCAGTCTGGTACATATTGGCTGTGTGACCCTGAGCAAGTCACTTGATCTCTGTGTTCCAGCCAACTTTCTAGTACTCTGAAGTTGCAGAGAAGTTTCTGCCCTGCATCAGTAGGAGTTTCCTTATCTGGTAACCCCCTCCAGTCACGCAAATTGCCACCATTCAACATCCTATCATTGGTCCCCAGTCCCCATCCTAGAGGTAACAGGGGGCCACAGGAGTTTGAGTGGGGGGGGAGGGTGACCAGGGGTAGCCTCTATGCAGCCTTGCAGCTCTAGAGTATGACCGAGTGTAAATGTGTGTCTGGGGCGGGGTGGGGGAGGGAGAGGACCGAAGCATATTTCCCTTGGAGCTGGGCTTGACAGTTTCCGCACCTCTAAAACCTCATGCATGACTCTACCTTTGGATGACCTGAAAGGTGCTTTCCAGCTTTGAAATTCTAAAGAAACGTGGGCAGGAGGGTTACCAGAAACCTCCACAAACAGGAGTGAAACCAACAGCTGCCACGCCGATATGCACCCGCGTGAGTCATCCTAGATCCGGGTGGAAAAGTAAGGAGGTGCCTTCTCCCCCTCCCTTCTCCCAGGACAAAGGAGTCTCGGGCTGGGGGTGCGGAGCTGCTTTTCCCTTCCTAATTCAGCAAAAAGTTCTAGAATACGCTAAAACAACGCCCACCTTTTTGCCGCCTGGTGGGGGTGGGAGGGCGGCTAGGCGGTCCCTTGCTTGTCTTCCTCGGGTAGGTCTCGGGCTAGTGACCTTGGCGGGCTCTGCCAAGACAGCGGGCGGACGTCTGCAAGTCGAGGTGGGGGTGGGGTTGGAATGGGGGCTCAAACTGCAGCCTGAAGCGCTCCTGGCGGAAAGGACTTGGCCCTGCCTGGCGAGGGGCAGTGCATCCCAGCGGAGAACGAGGGCGCCGGTATCAGCCAGCGCGCCTCCCTGGTGCCGGGAGCTCAGGCATTTGGAAGAGGGAGCCCGGGACCAGCGGGGTCAGGGAGCATGCGCGTGCGCACCAGCCCCACGCTGCCCCGGGCGGCGCGGGGAGGGCGGGGCGGTGTGTGCGTGACGTCACCGGGGGCGTGGCTCCGGGCCGCGCAGGAACAGCTGGTGCCGGACGAGGGCGTGGGCGGGAGGAGCTCGCGCGGGGTGCGCGGGGTGCGCGGCGGAGAGGGGGCTCGAGCTGCAGCAGGAGCCGCTGCCGCCGCTGCCGCCGCCGCCGCCGCCGCCCGCCTTGCACCATGTTCGCGCAGCTCGAGCGATGCGAACGCGAGTGGCACGAGCTGGAGGAGGAATTCCAGGAATTGCAGGTGGGGCCCGGGGGGGGGGGTTCGGAGTGAGCGCGGCTATTTCACCTCCCGCATGTCCCTTCCCTTTCCCGGAGCTTGCATTCCAGCCCCCTCCCCGCCCCCACCCCAGGTCCTTCCCGGGGCTGGGGCCTGGGTCTGTCCCGGGGCAGACAGTGGGGAGCCCCGTGCCCTCTCTGCATGCACGCCCGGGGCTGGGCCCATCCCCTTGTTGTGGTCCGTTCTCTCCGAGACCCTCTGGCCGCTAAGGGACTGGGGGGAACGCACCCGTGGATCCCTGGCAGGCGGAGCCCTTTCCCTGGCACCAACCCTGCCCTCCTCTGTCCCTGCCCCTTCTCCCTCTCTCTCTTTCTCTCTGTCTCTCTCCTCTCACTCTCCTCTCTCACCTCTCTCTCTCTGTCTCTCTCCTCTCTCTGTCTCCGTCTCCTCTCT